TTCTATTGAAACCCTTTCAATATCCACTTGTCCCTTTGGACGCCCATGTCTAGGTAACCCTAAGAGCAAATCAAGGGTGTAAACTATTAACCACAGTCTCCGTAACAGGCACGCTGCACCCTGGGCCACAGTGGGGGGCCCACTGTCCTTGTTAAAGAATTGCTGAGGATCTGACCTCTGCCTCCAGGCCTGGTGCTCCCTCCTACCTACCTGGCTTCTCCCAGAAACTTCATTACAGGCACTAGGACTTGGTTATAGTCCCATTTTTTGCTAAATTCGTCTCCATGGAGTCTCTGCGCTTTCTGTGGTCCTTAACCCCATTCAAACTCAAAAGAGTTTTGATGTTTTAAATGTGGCCAAGAGGAGAGGGAGGGGTTAGAAAAGAGGAAAATGAAGGGCTAGAAAAGGGTCATGTGCCCACCTTGGATTGCTCAGAGCACCTTTTGGAAAGCAGTCAGATGTAGAAGCTACTGGAACATTTCAGGGGGGATTTCATGCAGAAGTTTGCTGCCTAGAACCAGCATTGTTGTGACACTACAAAGAATGGACACTTACGAGGTGTGGAAATGGCTTTAGCCTAAGTACTGACCCTCCTAATACAAGCAGTGTTGGAACAGAGGCAATGGAGAAGCATAGGGGACAGAGGGGAGGACGGGGGGGGGGGGGAGCAGGCAGAAGTCAGTAGGGCGCAGCAGCCAGGCTGTAGGGCAGGTTAGACGGTCGAGCTGGAGTCGTCAGTCTGAAAACGAAGCACAGGGTGTGGGCACTAAATGGGAGAGTAGCTTAGCTGACTAGTATGTGTCTCAAAGGTTCACTTTTTTTTTTTTCTTAAATGTTTTATTGTGAATTATGTGATAGTTTACATGGGAGAACATTAGTTTTACATTCATTCTATCGTATATCGTCTCATTGCCATGGTTATAATCCCCTCCATGCAATCCTTCCCCCGTACCCCCCAAGTCTTCAGCACACAGTCGCTCTCCCTCTCTGGATCTAAAGTCTCCAGCTGCTCCATCGCTCCATGTCATCATCAATGCCTCCATTTCAGGCATCACTGCTTCTCTGGGTAGGGTCCCGCTCTCTGCTCTTCTCCTCAAGGGTTCACTTTTATGACTGATTTTCAGATAAGAAGTGTGGGGCCTGAGAATCCAAAGTATGCATCCTCCTGATCTCGACAAAGAATCCCAGAATCGCTGCAGTAAACAGGGCCTAAAAAGGTCAACAGTGTCTGGTTTCCTTGCGCACTTTACACACATCTCCAGCACACACTGGTCAGAAGAGAGGAATCTGTACATTTGTTGCCTCTGGGATCAACACAAAGGAGGCTCATTAGCACTCTGGCGATTACACAACACCTACTCACGATTCAGCCCATTTTAGGCAAGACCTACATTGTTATCCAAGTTTCACAAACACTCCCCTCAGTGAAGCTATGGTCTCCTTCCTGGGGACCTTCGCAGTCCTGCCTTCACCACTATTTAATGCAATTACTGAGGGGGCCACTCCTCTAAGGACACTCCCTTCCAGAGAATACTCCGAGGGCTGTTCCCTGTGGTCCAGAGAGGCTGCAAAGCCACCATCTGGGCTCATTCTTCTTGTACTTCTCACCAGCAGCAGGCCAGGTAACAGAAGAAATGCCAGCCGAGTCTTCTCCCCAGCATCCCACTGTAGCCTCCAGGCAGACCCTCCCAGGTAACCCCAGGTCTCTTCTCCAGAGGCATTCATGGGATTGCCAAAAGAAAAAAACTAGAAGCCACTTCAACACCTAAGTAATAAAGGACAGCTCAGACTATCATTTATTTATAGATTTTCTTTATTGCTATGTACTTGTTTGACTCCGTTATAATGAATTAAATGATAATGCAGAGGCTAAAAAGACTGAAGTCAACCAATATGTGCTAACTGAAAGCCTCTCCCAGATTAATTAAGGGAAAATTATCAGGCTAATAAACATGCCTACTACGCTACTAGGCATGTGCATGTGTGTGAGTCTGGTGAGTTTGTATACCTGTGACTATATGTATGCATACATGTGTGTGAGACTGTATATGTGTATGAGTGTAAATGGGTAAGTATGCATGTGTTTGTATGTGTGTATCTGTGTGTGCATGTGAATTGTAAGTATATATGTGTGTATTGTGTGGGTTACGTGTATGTTGTGAGACTATATAAGTATGCGGGTATGCGTATATAAGTATGCATAAGTATGCGGGTATGCATATGTATGTATGTGTGTGTGCATGTCTGTGTTTACACGCACAGGACACAGCACGGAAAGAGAGTTGTGGAAGGAACAAAAACAGGACACTCACTCAGACTTTTTAAATATTTGGATCACACTTGACTTTAATACATAGATTTTTCAAATACGGAGTCCTGGCACGGCACTGTGAGTTAATGTGCCAGACTGCAAAGCCGTTTGAACTGCAATGTCGGCAGTTCCAGCTCACCAGCTGCTCCTTGGAAACCCTATAGACGGTCACTATGGGTTGGAATCAACTCGAAATCCCTTAAGAACAACAACAGGACCCAGATAACGCGACTTCCTGTGACTAAAGCCCACAGATGACAACCCAGAAACCAGAAAGCACATTCTCCCTTATATAGCTATTGAGGGAAAGATGAGCTCCAGCGGCAGAGGGCCCTTGTCAAGGGAGGCCAGTGAACCCAGACATCCTAGGCATGTATGACTACACGGACGGAGGAACATGGCAGATAGAAGCCCTTCCTATGTTGTGTTGTGTGATCTATCAGGACACAGGTCCTTGGGCAGGGGGCTTACTGTGCTTTCGGGAGCAGGGCTGGAGGTAGGGGCAATAGCAGGGGTGGATCATCCAGAAATTAAGCAGGGCGTGAACACATCGCATCTCTCAGGACCTTTCCAGCCCAAAGACTCCAGAAGCAAACCCACTGACATCGGATGTCTTCTGGCTCACAGTCACTTTGTTTAGAGTTTCTGAGGCTGGCACATCTTTACAGAAGCAAAAGGCCTCATCTTTCTCCCACAGAGCAGCTGGTGAGTTTGAGCTGTCAACCTTGCAGCTAGCAGTCCGGTGCTTATCCTACAGCGCTACCAGGGCTCCTTAGGTGTGTATTGTTGTTGTTGTTGTTGTCGTTAAGTGCCGTCAAGTCAATTCCAACTCATAAGCAACTCTGTATAGGGTTTCCGAGGTTTTAAATCTTCTTCAGGAACAGAAAGCCTCATCTTTCTCCTGAGGAGCGGCTAGCAGGCTTGAACCACCGACCTTGTGGTTTGAAGTCCAATGCTTATTTCATGGAACCACTGAATGTCACACACAAGGGATTGGGGAAACCGGTGCTACAACCACCTTCTAGGCCAAACCAAGTTACTACCAAAATGGGTTTTCCGTTTTAGCAAATCCACTTTGAGCCGCAAAGGCCCCAGTAGAAATGCTATGTCCAATGAGAGTGCACGCTCTTCCATTAGATGGCACCTACACTCACCGCTGTACTTCAGTGCTGTTGGTTCTAGATTTGTGAGATGCCTAGAATCCTTCGAAACTGTCTCCTCCTCTCCACCGCCTTGATGGAAGGATGTGCAGGGAGAAACTTGAGGTGGAACACAGGCTCCCTACTTTTAACTTGGGTCCTGTCACCCAGGCTTTAATTGACCTTGTTCCCCAGTCCTGAGAAGCTGGGCAGCTGTCTGGTGTTAGCCCCTCACCGCTTGTCCTTCCAGGCACTAAAGCCCTGTTTCCAGAGAGCTATTGCTCCCACCCTGTGACCTGTCCTGTCCCTTTGCCCTTTGGACAGTCATTCCTTCAACTGTCACCAACATGCCAACAATTCCCTAATCCCACTCATTTTTTCAAACGTATTTGCTAGGCACGAACTCAAAATGTGAAGTTCTGGTGTGTTTTGTTGGACTGCAAAGTTGGTTGAAATCGCAAGGTTGATGGTTCAAGCTCACCAGTCGCTCCTAGAAAACCCTATACCGGGTCGCTATGGGTTGGAACCGACTTGACAGCACTTAACAACATCAACAACAACTCTAAATGTAGAGGACACAGAAATGGGCAACAGGAATCAATGCAATAAGTATTTGTTAACATCCCTAATATGTGTCTACAAATATGCTTGAAGGCGCCGTGGTGGCATAGTGGGTTACGAGTTGGGTTGCTAACCACAGGTCAGCAATTTCAGTCCACTGGCTGCTCCATGGGAGAAAAAGATGAAGCTTTCTGCTCCTGTAAACATTTGCAGCCTCGGAAACCCTGGTACACAACGCCTACCACCAGTATGTTTTAGAGGCTGAAGAAGACACCATCATTACCATTGGGGAGCCGTAGACTGTTGGGGCAGAGACAAAAATCAAAGAATTACAGGTCATTAATAGGATTCCCAGAGTGCTGTGGGACTATTAGGTAGGAACTCCCCAGCCTAAGGAGTCAGGACACATAGACGGCTGTCCTTCTGCATTCGACAGCCACTGAAACAGACCTCCTTCCTCTCCGGGCATCCTGTTCACAGCTGTGGGCTACAGGATTCCTGGAGGAGAAGTGTCTTTAAGATCACCTGGCCAAACCTTACATCCTACCTGAATTTTCTTTAGAGGGCCGATGACCTTAGAGGTCCAGTCTTTGCTTAAGTCTACTTAGTACTATCCAGTTCAGATTCCTATCCCACCTCAAGGCACTCTTCAAAATGTAGAACAGCTCTGACAGAAAGATTTTATTTCAGGGTTATGAAAAGCAACTCCATCTTTAGACTTTATTAATCTCAGGTCATGTTTTTAGTATCTCAATAGGTGAGTTAAAGTGACATCACAATGATTGTTCTTCATTCTCAGTGACCAGAGAGAAGCTTTCAAAAGGCTCGTAGAATGAAAAGAGAACTAAGCCCAGAAAAGGGGACTGGAGGTCTTGGGGAGACAGCTCTACCCCCATCAATAGAAAGTGCTCCAGGATCTCCCACGACCTGCAAGAACTGCTAGAAGACTGTCCTTTCAAGTCCAAGAGCTCTACGAAGGAGAACACAGGATGGACCCACTGCCGAAGAACCAGACCTTAAGCTCGGAGTTTATTATCTTGGGCTTTGGGAACCTGCCAAACCTGCAGAGCCTCTTCTTTGGACTCTTCCTAATCGTGCACCTTATCACCCTAGCAGGCCACACAACTATTGTGCTCATCACCTTCATTGACTCCTGCCTGCAGACTCCCATGTATTTTTTCCTTCGTAACTTGTCCACCATTGAGATTTGCTATATATTGGTTATTGTCCCCAACATGTTGGCTAATTTCTTGTCCAAGAACCAACGGATGCCCTTCCTGGGCTGTGCCCTGCAAATGCTCCTCTTCATTGCCCTGGGTGGGGCAGAGTGTTTTCTTCTAGCCGTGATGGCCTACGACCGATTCGTGGCTATCTGCAACCCCTTGCGCTACCCGCTCATCATCACCCGAGCCCTCTGTCTGCAGATGCTGGTGCTGGCGTGTGTCAGCGGCTTTGCACTCTCACTCGCTCTCACTACACTGATCTTCCTCCTGCCCTTTTGCCGGTCTCACCAGATCAATCATTTTTTCTGTGACATTCCTGCTGTGTTATTCCTGGCCTGCTCTGACACCCGAGCCAATGAGATTGCCGTCTTTCTTGTGTGTATGCTCATCCTGCTGATTCCCTTCCTGCTGATCCTGCTCTCTTATGGAGTGATTATTGCTGCCATCCTCAGAATCCACTCAGCTGAGGGCAGAAGCAAAGCCTTCTCCACCTGTGCTGGGCATTTACTGGTCTCTCTTCTACACTACGGCTGTGCGATATTCATCTACAGCCGCCCTAAATCATGCTACAATCCAGACCAGGACAAAGTGGTGTCCTTAATCTACACCAATATAACTCCTATGCTCTATCCAATGATCTATAGTCTGAGGAACCAGGAAGTCAAGGGTGCCCTCAGAAGACTCCTGGAGAGTCACAACCGGATGAAGTGACAGCATCAGAAATCACCTATGGTCAGAGAGCTGGAATGAGCCATTCTGGGGTGTTTGTAGGTGTTTTCCTATCCCCTCACAGATAATGCCATCCATGCATTATGTGGATCAGTGTGCCAGAGTCACAGACACTGACAGGAAGCAGGCCACGAGATGACCCAAATGAATGCCGTGTCATCCACTCCTCTGACCAAAGAACCAGCAGGCGTGGAAATATAGGGAGCGTCCCAAGTCCCAACTAGATGCTGCTTCAGTGTTCCTGTCTCCATAGCTGGTCTACAGGCTCCTTGAAGGCAAGAACTGTGATTTCATGCTCTCACCCCAGCACCTGTTGTTGTTAAGTGCTGTCGAGTTGGTTCCAACTCATGGTGACCCTATGTAGAGCTTCCAAGGAGCAGCTGGTAGATTTGAACTGTTGACCTTGCAGTTGGCAGCGCAATGTTTGTGCTACAGCACCACAGCGGGACTCTTGGCACATAGTAGATGCCCAATAAATGTTCATTGAATTGAACTGTGACTCTCCATGAGTTCTGGCTTAGGAATCTCTTCAGACTCCACTTACTAATGGAATGAAAGCTTTTAAGAGTTTGCCTCTCAGATTTGCAGACTTGTATCAGGTGTCATAATCACAAGAAGCCATTTCCTGACCCCACTCCCATCCTAAAAGCTGGGCTAAATGCCATGGACCTCTGCGTTTCTCTGCATCACAGCAATTGTTGTTGTTGTTAAGTGCCGTCGACTCGGTTCCCACTCACAATGACCCTGTAAAGGTTTTCTGAGGAGCAACTCGTAAGTCTTTTCTTAAATGAGTGAATGAGCACCTCGTGTGTCGCAGCACGGTGCTTGCCACAGAGGATACAGAAAAGTGTAAGAGAATGGCCCCTGCCCTCAAGAAACTCACACATTAGCCTGGATGATAAAGCATGAAACCAATTCATTGTCATACAGCGTATTACACCCTATTCATTCCAGGTGGTTGGTGTGGGTTGTGTGCGTTAGAGTTGGTTCTGATTCATATCGACCCCTGTGTAGGGAGGGTTTCGTGTGGGAGCAGAAAGCCCCCTCTTTCTCCCTTAGAGTGTCTGGTAGATTCAGACCTGCTGACCTTGTTTGTTGTTGTTATTAAGTGCCATCGAGTCGGTTCCGACCCATAGCGACCCTGTACAGGGTTTCCGAGGGTGTAAATCTTTACGGGAGTAGAAAGCCTCTTCTTTCTCCCGCGGAGCGGCTGGTAGTTTAGAACCACTGACCTTAAGGTTCGCAGCCTGATTCGTAACCACTACGCTACCAGAGCTATCCATTCATAGGAAGAGACAATCATCCCCATCATCAAATCAATTTCTAGGTGTGTGAGCGCTAAATGGGGCTAAAAGAAGGAGACCTAGGTTCTTGCTGGGCTCTTCATTGGGAAATTAAAACCCAGTACTGCCTTCCTCTGGACTTCATGTTCAGTCAAGCATACATTTCCTTATGACTTGAGAAAAAATGCTAATTGAGGCATGAAGACAAACACTAAGAGGTTATTCTCAACCTTGCCTGCTCGTCTCTTGCTGCGGTCATAGTGCCTAGGTGAACACCCACCTTCCTCCTCCTAGGTGGGAGTGTTGGGTCCTGGAGGACACAAGCATGTCTCTCGTGGCCACCTAGTGCCTGGCCCTGCCTGTTTTTTAATCAGTGCTCAGGCCAGGCCTGGCACGTCTCTGAGTGAAGATGGAGTCAGAGAAGAATTCACTATAGGGGCTGTCTGGGAGCTCACAGAATAGTGTGGGGAAACAGACAAATGAATTCCTTGGGACAGTGCAGTGTTATGCCCAAAGATGGACCCAGATTTCTAATCCATGCCCCCTGCAACTGTGGTGAGGATTCCCTGAGATGACGTGTGGCCAGTGGCACGTGGCCCAGTACCTGGCATGCAGGGTCCAAAAGCGACGGCAGTGAGGGGCCGCACACCTCTGCCTGAAGCTTTGCCCTCATTCCTCAGGCCGCGCTTCTCCCCTGTGCCCGCAGCGCCAGGCCGAAGGCTAGTGGGGGTGGGGGCGGGAGGTGGGGGCTCTTCATGAGCATCATGAGATCCCTGCAGGGATCCTTGCAGGAAACTCAGAGGAAGATTCCAGATCAATCATCTGGAAAGAAAGCAGGGATGGAGAGGTAACAGCTAAATCAGACAAATGAATTCCAAATGGCTCCATACAATAAGCGTTGGACTGCGAACCACAAGGTTCACAGTTCGAGCCCATCAGCTGCTCTGCAGGAGAAAAATGAAGCTCCACCAAAGGCGTGGTAAAGGAGTTGCCCAAGAGGAGCTCTGAGAGGTGGTCAGCGAAACCTGTTCCTGAAAAAGTTGCGATGAAGCCAAAAAAGGCAGCTGGAAAGGATAAATCCGCAGACACAAAGTGCAAACAAAAGGGGAAAGGGTAGCACAGGGGAAGCAGGCTGAAGTGGGTAACCAAGACCCTAAAGAAGATGGTCCTGCCGGAAATGGAGAAACTGAGGCAGCAGGAGAGAAAGAAACCAAGTCAGAGGAATGTTTGTCTCCCGTGGCGTATCAGTGGGACCTCTACTCTAGCTCTCTTCTTGTACCATCCAGGTGAAGATTTTTATCAACTAGTTTGCACATTTTCTAGTAGCTCTAGAAACATTTTGTAAATGGAGGAAATCCCACTTCATCCCATTTTTTTAATGTCAATCCTTTTTCTTAGAGGTGAAGTCATTTCCTAGTTGTTTATTTTTTGGTACAACCAGAAGATAGTGGCATGCTGACTGGTGGGAGGTTTGGACTATCTTGGGTGTCAACTTAACACCCATTGGCGTGCCGGGGGAGTTTTATATTCCATAATACAGAGCACACTTACTGGCAATCCGGGGACCACAGCCATGTATTTGCAGGGCTTGAACATTGTAAATTCTGTTTCCATGCTGTTTTTCAGTAGAATTGTTTCACTCATCTTGGCTCTGCCTGTCAGAACTGTGTGTGTTCTGTGATATTTTTGGTAGTGGTAGACCCGTTTTCCTCATGACATTGTTACATGCTGTGAAACGTTGCAAATTTCAGTGTGTAGTGTGTGTGACATTAAGTTGGGAATTAGTAGGAATTGTTGTTGTTAAGTGCCGCTGAGTCTATTCAGACCCATAGCAACCCTGTGTAGGGTTTCCGAGGAGCAGCTGGTGAGCTTGAACCACTGACCTTGCAGTTCAAACGGCTTTACAGTCTGGCGCATTAACCCACAGTGCCACACCAGGACTATCAAAAATTCAAGCTATTGGTACTTGAAATTTTTGGCACAAAGAAAAATTTGTCTCCAAACGTAAAGCTGGAA